ATTTTATCTAAACAGATTTGGCAACGCCTGAGAGTTCATAAGGCGTTTTCCCCTAGAACGGCAGTATAGGGGGATGGAACTTTCAGTTATTTTTGCTTGTTAAATCTGCAACAATTGATTTTCTTTTGCTAAGTACGGCCCGTTTTTTCGTATGCGAAGGGTTTACCGCATACTGCACTGAGAAAAAGCTATGGTTTATAAACCAATCAATGGTTCATATGAAACACTATGAATAGTTCTATATGAACTAAATATTATCAGTCTGTGAACCATACTGTGGTAGCTCGTAACATAGTATGGTGTAGTTACCATAACTAAGGTATATGTACTATTAGTATATGTTGCCTTCACTACTATTAGCGGTGTCCCATATGAACCACTAATGGAGAATTTGCACACAACAATTTTATTGCCTCATCTGAAAGTGCCTAATGAGCTGAGTTCGCAGTATTTTTCATAATTTCTTTCTGACATGAGAAATTTGAGAAAAATCGATTTAAAAGTGAGAAAATTTGCCGCCTTTTGACGTCGTCCGGCGGCATTTCCATTTAAACACATGTATTTCAGCAGAATCGTGTATTTTGTCATAAGTATCTCCTCTAATAATCGCTCAATTTATGAACCAAGGGTATCTTCGTGTTCAGTTCACTCAGTAGATTCCTCTTCAACACGAAATTAATCAAATTTTAGACTCTTGCAAACTGTCCATTGAATTATACACTGGCAAAAAAAACCTCTTGGACCAATGCCGCATTGCATGGACTTAAGAGTGCAGTTTCTTGTCGCCGGAGAGTCTTGAACTTTTGTTTCAAGCGGATTTTGCATTGATTTAAGCTGATTTTGCATTGATTTAAGCGGATTTTGCATGGATTCAAGCGGATTTTGCATTGATTCAAGCGGATTTTGCATTGAAACAAGAGTCCAGACTCTTAAATCCGGCGACAAGAAACTGCACTCTTGAACCAAGAGGTTTTTTATACCAGTGTTTGCCACAGATATTTCTCCGTGTGCTGCATCACAAATTGCCTACCCTTCAAACGAAGGCGTTACCCGCGGTCGATTCCACGGCAACGCTGCCTCCTCTCGGATGCTCCACCGGAGATAGGAGCTAGGATGCTCGTTTTTTGCTTCGTTTGCGCGAGTAATCGCGGTGTTTATTCGGTGGTTTGAGGAGCGCTCGTGACCGGAATCCATCGCCAGGCCGCTCGCAAAACCGCCCAACCCCCGGCGGAAATCGCGAGCGTTTGCGCGGTTTGGCGAGCGCGGGCGCGATCGCGATACTGGATGCATGCACGAGTCGGGCTCGGCGAGACCGAAGACCGATCCATCTGCCAATTACGGAAGTCGGACGGGTTTTGTAAAGAAGCACGTAAGCGCCGTGTGTATGTCGGTGTGGTTACGCTCTTCTTCGAGAGATGCGTGCGGTTGAGGTATCTGACTCCTCCGAGCAATCGATCAGCTCGTCCTATTAAAACTCTGTCGGTTCGCGACTTCTGTTCGAGCGCATCTCCTGCGGAAACTCCGTCGAACCGATGGACAAAACTACTAAACGCAAAAATTTAATTTCAAGCTTTATCTTTGTGTTCAATGACAATACACAGGGGTGTTCAAGGTTAAACCGCCGGACTGCAGGCGGATCCAGACACTTAGCTTAGCGGGCTGATTGAAATTGATAGACAAAGCTGTAGACAAAGAAGAGAAAAGGGATGTAGAGAGATCCTATTGGTGGAAGCGGGTGGTTGCAATGGACAAAGGGGGTAGGTAATAGACTGACTAACGGCAATCCACGAGAGACCCCATACTCAGTCCATCATTAACCTCTTTAGTCTATAAGAACCACCCATTTCAACTAATAAGATCACTCCATACCCCTACGTCTTCTTTGTCTATCGCCTTGTCTATCAATGTCAACAATCAGCCCGCTGGGGAGGAGGGGGGCGTAAAGAGGAGTTGAGGCGAGTTAAGGGGGTTTCAGGGGCCCCCAAAGATACTTTTTGGATTTGTGAAGCATCTTATAAGCAGTTTGAGTCAGTTTCGTCATGAATGATTACCAAATGTAAGCGTCTTTCCTTCTTCTTTCCTATGTTCCTAATTTTTTCTTCCTTCTCTTTGTGTTAATCCTTTTTTCCGGCCAAAGGGGGGGGGGCGTGCGCTCACTCGGATCCGCCTATGTAAAAGAGCGTGCTCTATGGATCAAAATAAAACTTTTTTCTTCAATGACTTTTCTACCAAGAGTGTCTATTCGAGGGTGCTACCCTCCCCCCCCCCCCCCCNCAAGTTCTGGGAAATTAATAGTTTTTACGCATTTTGGTAATTTTAAACTTTCTAGGTGAATCTCATGAAAATTAGTATGCAACCATAATTTAATTTTCCTTAAAATTAAATCTCTTCCTTCATACGCAAAAAAATAGCAATGAGAGTGCCACGGTTTGGCGACACTGCAAGGGATCCGGCTACATCTCGCTACGACGCGACGGTTCGTCTAGCTGAGCTCGTCAGCTGCTTTTGAATAAGGAAAAACGAATAAAATATTATTTTTCTCCTCTCCCTCTTTGGCGCACACACATGTATGCACCCTGTTTGTACTTTAAAATGATGCTTTTTGCAGTTTTGTATGCAGAGAAAAAAATTTGAAATTAATATTTTCTATACTGGAATTTGTATCAAGCATCAGGGCCGGATTTACCTACTTGCCGCCCACGGGCCGCCTGTATTTTGCCGCCCCCTTCTCATTCCTTCTGAAACATCAAAAAAAAACCATCTAATGAACGTGCCAGCGGGGAAGGGGTGCATAAGACGCGTTTACTCGTGTTGAACACATGTTTTGGGTAAGCCCTGGCAACACTACTAGCAGAAGTTCACGGAACTTTGCGCGGAAGTTAAGTTTCGTGAACCTATCTCTGTGTGGACAAGGCCTTCCATCCATAAGAAATGAACGAAAAAATTATGAAAGAACAAACATAAATGTGGATTAATGATTTTAACTTCCGCCGCCGCGCCGCGCAGACCGCACCGCGTTTGGCGCAATGCATGAAGTATTCACGCAGTCTCGTAGGTGCTATGCGTTTCACGCTGATCGCACTGTGTTTGCCGCAATGCGTGAAGTATTCATGCATTCTTGTAGGCGCTATCCGTTTCACGCTGACCGTAATGACCGCACTGTGTTTGATGCAATGCTTGAAGTATTCGTGCAGTCTTGTAGGCGCTAATATATGTTAAATGCCGATCGCCACGCCGAGGGTGTCTCCTTTTCATCTCAAGTCCTCGTCATCATTTCTCTCTAAGTCACGCCGTTCCAGGCCAAATTGCGTGTTTGGTTTCACTCTTAACTTGACTAATTGAAGGTGCTGCCTCTTTTATCACTGAAAGACGACAAAATTAGAAATTACTATACTCTCAGAAAATTAGAGATTTTGTCGCCTTTTCTCGTTTATAATTTTTTTTTTCTAATTCCGAATTTTTTTTATACCTACATTTAAAAGAATTGCAAAATTTGACGCCCCCTATAGATTTGCCGCCATGGGCCACGGCCCATGTGGCCATCCCTTAATCCGGCCCTGTCAGGCATGCTAAGATCGTCCTCTGATAGCTTAAAATTGATTTGATGTCCGTTGAAGCCAAAATTTGTTCAGCGCGCTCTCCTTTCCGAAGGGCTAGTCAGCTCCTGTATCTCTCAATCTTTATTCAAAGTGCGCGCAACGAGTTGCTACTCATCGCGTGCACTTTCGTCCAGATTTCTGTGCACTCCATTTCCTTCCTCCGACGCTTAGTGCACGCTATGAGAAGCAACTCGGTCAATATCCCAAAATGTTTCCTTTCGCCCATATTTTATTTCTGGAAGGTCTGGAAGTGCACGCTTTCAGGTCTTAGCTCAGTTTTCAATTTTGATTGAATTCGCTGTTGAATTGATATTCTTGGTGGTCACCGATGTAATACTTTTTGCCTAGTTCTTCAATTGAAGGCACTCTTGAAAATTGGTTGGTTTCACTATTTGAAATTGGTTGATTTGAAAAACATTCTTTTCGGTGTAATTCAGCAAATAATGGAACATACTAATGGCATAATATCGAAATTATTGTGTTAATAGTGCAATATCTGTGATAAAAACAATCTTTTGTAGTTACTTAGACCTTTCGAGATTTCTTAAGATTTCGAGATTCTTCTTTCTTTAAGGGGCTGCGTGCTTTCTTATTCGAAAAAGCCTTCTATAATCTTCACGAACTTGTAGGCTAGTAAAATTTAACACTTGTACCTTATGTATATCGCTGTAACTGTTCACCATGTACCGAATATGACGTGTGCCATAGCCTCAGCCAGAGGCTAAATTGTACAAATTATAAAATAAATAAATAAATAAAAATAGATTTCTTAAATCCACGCATCCACAAAGGAATCGGTACAAACGCTCTCTCGTAAGAAAGTAATTGCCCCGTTAAATTCGGCAATAGCTGATGTGGCTTGGGTCCATTCTGTTAAACAGGTCCATTTTGGGACAACTTTGGAGTTACGTCCTTCTATCTGCGAAACAAGAGATCGTTCAGAATCATTTAACTGAAATAATTGAATTGATAACTCAAAGTTTTTAATTATAATTATTTGATATGATTACGGTATTTCTATGTATCTATGATCATTTGGACCGCGTTAAACAGAAAAGAACCAAGCCACATCAGCTATTGCCAAATTTAATTGAGCAATTTAATTTTTTGCATGAAAACGGTTGTGCAAATTTCAGTGAAAATTCTCCATAGTTTGAAGCGAATTCCCTAAAATTTTTAAAGGAGTTTGCACAAAAGTTCTCTCGTAAAAAATTTAACTGTCCAGTTAAATTTGGCAATAACTGATGTGGCTTGGGTATTTGTACTGTTAGACAGGTCCATTTAGGGACAACTTAGGAGTTGCGTCCTTCTATCTGTGAAACCAGAGATCGTTCCGTTTTTCAAATTCTGCACAGCAAAATCTAAAATCCATTCTAAGTAAAACTTTTTGGTGTGTTCCAGGAGCGGGCAGGAACATCAGGCACCTACCATGCGTGAGCAGGCGGACAGGCGAGACCGGTCTCTGCATGTTCGCGTTCTCCTGCGCCAAAGCCAACGGCACCCACCTGGGCACCTGCATCGACCGCTTCTACTTCGGGAGCTGCTGCAAGATCTTCCCGGGCATCGAAGTGGACCTCGCCGAGCCGCTGCAGAACAACCTCCTCAACTACGAGGAGTTCGGCGGCAGCAGCAGCACCACCCACAAGACCATCGACCCCAGCGAGAAGCCCCACTTCAGCCTCGCCCCCAAGCCCAACATATCTACCTCCAGCCCCTACGGCTCCTCCACCGTGTCCATCAGCACGCCGATGGGGTCCGTCTCCACCGGCTACAACCCCACCCACCGACCCCTAATCTCATCGACCGTATACTCGTCATCCACAATCCACCCCGCTACTAAAACCGAATCGACGAACAAGTTCTCGTCGCCGTATACCAGCACACCCAGACCGGTTTCCACCCTCGCAGGATCGACCATCAACCCCTTGACCGTTTCCGCCCCACACTACTCCACCTCGAAATTCGCGGATTCAGTATCTTCGACATCTACCCCGTATTCGAAACCGTCGACAGTTTCGTCGACGCATGAGGTGTCGAGTTCCCACTTCGTGACGACGCCGGCGCCGAGTCAGTCGACGCCGAAATCGACGTCGAAACCGGTTTCGACGCCGAAGCCGGTTCCCTCGGGGAAGCCCACGAAGCCGCCGGGCTACGGGACGACGCCGCAGAAGCTGGGGCCCACGAAGCCGGGGTCGGCGAAACCGGCGTCGACGAAGCCGGGGATCCCGCCCAAGCCGAGCGCGGCGCCCACCAAAGCGCCCACGACGCCCGGCAAGCCCACGAAGCCGTACTCGAAGCCCAGTTACGCGCCCACGAAACCGAGTGTGGCCACCGTGACGTACGGCGAGAGCTCGTACAGTCAGACTGCCAAGCCGCTGAGCCAGGTAAATTCTTTGTTTTATAATCCGAATCAGGATTTTCTTTACTCTGAGAAAAATGAATCGGTGAGAACGAAAACACACCAACTCGGTACCTCGAAAAATGCTCACTTTTCACTCAGGACAGGCAATTTTCATGAAGGTCATTGAAGTTACCGTATCTATGCCAAATCGGGCATTTAAAGTTTCCTTAAATACTTGCTTTTAGGCACCAAAAATATTTTTCTTAGACTAACTTCTCACCTAATATGCAGTTTTGTGTGTGTCTTGATTATTTTCATTTTTTCGAGTTGGTGTGTTTTCGTTCTCGCTGATTCAAATGAGAAATTACTTTAAAGCGACCGAAAATGTCTTTGAATGAGCAGAAACACTGTTTGAAGCAAGGAGATTTTCTGTATTCATCCCTTCCATGGCACATATTCCACAATTGTTACTTCACGTATGTATAAGATCTCTACCCTCCCAGTAACGTTAACAACGCTTTTGCAGTGACTTCTCCAAAATCAGTTCAGTCGATTATTTTATCATCCAAGTATCCCTTGTTGTATCACCGGAAATCGAAGGCGAATCATGTTCTCCATATCCCACGTTAGTCATTCTTTCACGTTTACGCTCTCTACCCTCCCGGTAAGGTTAACAACGCTCTTGTAGTGGCCTCTTCAAAATCAGTTTTAGTCGATTGTTTTATCATTCATGCATGTAACCCTTATTGTATCACGAGAAATCGAAGGCGAATCATGTTCTCCATATTCACGTATGCAACCTCTACCCTTCTGGTAACGTTAACAACGCTCTTGAGCCCGTATCACACGATCAAAGTAGAGGCTTCAAAGAGATTCATCGATGCCTTTCCTGGCCCTCTCATTGGCCAGCGCCAGCGGTTTAAGTCGGGGCAATCGATGAGTCTCTTTGAAGCTTCTAATTTGATCGTCTGATACGGGCTTAACAGTGACTTCTCCTAAATCAGTTTAGTCGATTATTCTATTATCCGAGTACCTCTTATTGTATCACCAGAAATCGAAGGCGAATTATGTATCCCACATCACACGATAGTCATTATTTTACGTCTTTGATCTTTGCCCTCCAGGTGACGTCATCGCCGTCGAGCGTGCACGTGTCCTCGCCCTCTTCGCCGATCTCCACGGTCTCGAGCACGACGACGAACTACGTGGAGGTACCCGTCTCGACGCTGACCCCGGCGACGCACGGACACGGCTCCCAGTCGCCGCTGCTGAGCACCCTCTCGCACTTCCCGTCGCACGCGTCCGCCTCCACGCTGCAGCGCCTCAACCTGTCCTCCACGACACCGCCGCCCCCGCCTTCGCCCGCCTCCATCGAGACCCTGGAGGAGGAGACCAACCTCATCTCGGGCGGCGGCGTGTCCACCTCCAAGCCTAGTCTCGTCACCTGGACCACAATCGACGAGGTGCCCATCATCCCGCCCGACCGCACCAAGCCGCCCACCATCCGACCTCCAGGTGAGCATCGTATACCTCAAAAGCTGTACGTGGAGATATAGGCGGAGCTAAGGAAGCCCGGGGGAACAGTGGGCTGAATATTGAAATAGGGTTATAATACTGCAGTGGTAAGGGAAAATGTCGTATGAGCCTTCAGGCGTTGCCAAATTTCGATTGATAAAACACGAATTTCCTGGTAAACATATGACTATTTTTCTTCCAATTTTCCAGATAATTTTGTTCGGAATGTCACCTATAGTTCCTGAAAATTTCAAGGAAAATATTCATAACTTGGCTCCAAAATAAACATTTTATCAAAGGAAATCTGGCAACTCTCGAATGTTCATACGGCGTTCTTCCTCAGCACGGCAGTATAGCCGAAGGAGGCAAAGGGAAAGTAGAGCGATTTTATTGGTTAAAACGGGTGGTTGTGATAGACTAGGGGGAACGAAAGACTGACTATACTGCTGAGCTAAAGAAAAACGCCGGATTAGCCTTCAAGCGTTACCAAATTTCCCTTGGCAAATGACAATTTTTGAGGAAAATTTGAGAATATTTTCCTTTCAATTTATCAGATAATTCTGTTCATAATTTGATCTAAAGTGTATGAAATTTTCATGTTCATACTTAGCATGGAGAAAAACAAGATAGCGCTCAGCAAATCGGTCGCATCTATGTTGGGAATTTTGGAGAAAGAACTACGAAAAAAAGGGTGAAGGAACTGATAATATTTAGACTACATTCTGCCATTTCGAACTAAAATTTCTGGCTCAGTTTAGAAATAACATATTTACCATTATTTTCCCAATTTACACAAATCTTTTTACCGATGAGCCAGAAATTTTAGTTCCTAATTGAAAAATCAAGTCCAATTACTAACAGCGAGACTGCAATGGCGCGTATTTTGATTCAGTAAAATCCAAATCTCAGCTCTTATTTCATTTTTTTAAAGGAAACTGAACGCTCAGTCTCGAAATTTTCGCATTTTTTTCACCCAGAGAAAAAAATTAAGGAGAAAAAATACAAAAAAACGTTGAGTGGTCTTCTATAATTAGAAAATATAGTATGACAGGAAGTCTGCAACACTGCAAACCGAGATTTATGTTTCTGCCAGTGGCGAGGGGTGAATAATCGATTATCGATATTTCGCCATTTAAAGCTGTGGTAAAGAATCGATTATTTAGGTGTTCGTTACGAACACCCTGTTTATCGATTCTTTTTCATAGCTTTAAATGGCGGAACAATCGATGCATCGCAAAGCACGCCGCGCTACTGGTTTCTGATACGTTTTCCTGGTTGATATTAATTCATGGAAGACGCGAATACGCGAAACATAGCGTCCACGTGTCTGGACGGATCCCACTATTTTTTGCTGACTGGTAAGACTCAATCGAACAATCATGATTCTAGGAAACTTGCAACAGACCCTTAATCTACAAATCTAAGTTCTCGAGCGTTTTAAAAAAGCCCGATTGTTAGAACCGATGATTGGTGTCTGCCCGGATCCCACTATTTTTTGCTGACCGATAAGATGCAATCGACAAATCATGATTCTAGGAAATTAGACCCATCAATTTAAGAATCGAAGTTCTCGTGAGTTATTATAAAAAAGCTCGATTGTTAGAACCGATGATCATGCAAACTTCTTACTTTCAACTCGTATGACCTGCGGTTATAGGGCTCATCGCTTCTTTAGGGTGCCAATTTTGACGAGGAGCTCTTAGTATGGTTTCAATTGTTGAGTGTTCTTTGAACTTCTTCAAGGCCTCTTGGACGTTGATGCCAAATTTAAATTTGAGTATAGCGGAGATGAATATGGTTTTCAACAATGAAACCAATGTGCTGAGCCTCAATGATCAAAATTTAATAATAACTGTCCGTGAAGTAGGAAATCTCAGTACCAAAAAACTCAAATTTGAGGCATTATGTGTATTATGAGGTATATAAGACGGATTTGACAAATTTTGTGACCTAAAAATCGTCCAAATGTAAAAGAAGTTGATGCTGCTAGTCAATAATCATTTTCCTCACTAATATCCGTGCTAAAACTTGAAAGCGCTTCCAATTTCGACAAAGGAGGGGTATTTGTTAAGGGAATTTTTGAGCCAACCCTGAATGTTATCAATTCTACGATTTTTTGCTCATTGAATGTCCATATTCTATGGAATGCAATATGTTTCAGTCAATTTTGGACTCTTTTCGAGTCTCATACTAGCCTAAACATGGGTCTGAACCCCGATTTCGGCAAAAAATGTGGATTTTTTGCACGATAGTAATGTTTACTGATAAGAATAACTTAGCAGACATTGGAGGTTCATATTCTATGGAATGTTATACCTATGATTTTGTCATTATCAGTCTCTTATCAAGTCTAATACTGGCCTGAGCATGGGTCTGGAACCCGATTTTGGCGAATTGGATTTTTCGACACGATAGTAGTATTAAATGATAAGAGTAACTTTTCCAGAAACTCATGTACAACATTTTCGATATCGCACCGTTCCGACAAAACCTATCATACACCGAAAAAAACCATTGGTCTTGTGAATCGAACGTTCGGTGTTCCATGTCATCCAAAATATTCGGTTTGTCAAACTTAACTTTCGGTTTGTCAAAAAGAACTGTTGGTTTGGCGAACTGAACTTTCGGTTTGTGTAACCAATCGTTCGGCATTTATGACCAAACATAGTTCGTCTGTTCACTTTACAGCACAAGTTCGGTTACACGAACCGAAAGTTCGGTTTGACGAGCCGAATTAGTTTGGATGATACGGAACACTGAACTTCGGTACATCCGACCGAACTTTTTTTCTCAGTGATAGAATAAAAAATTCGCCAAAAATTGAATTCTCAGTGATAGAACAAAAAATTCGCCAAAAATTGAATTCTCATCCAACATCAATAAATTCTGGGAGCGATAAGCAAGACTAATTTGGCCTCTGCGCGTCGGCGTCGGAACGATCGACGTCGCGGCGCTGAGACCGCGGGTGGGTGACCATCGCAGTGCGATAGGATCTTCGAGAGTGATGTGTGGCTCTGGCTCTGGAAACGAGCTCGTTGTTGTCGTTCTGCGGCGTCTCTTGCCCCTGCTAATCGCTCACGATCTCGCAGTTTCAGTGACCTACGAGTCGGCCACGGCGTCCCCTGCACCCTCATCCCCCTCTTCTTCGCCGTCGTCCCTGCCGCCGACCTCCGCCCCCTCGTCGCCCTCCACCGAGTCCTGGGTCCAGGTTCAGCTCACCACCCACGCCCCCGACGCAGCAAGTAAGTCCCGATTCCGTTTTGTAAATAATAGGGATTTTTTTTTTAAATAAAAGCATAAAACACGGGGAAAAACTATTCCTGATTTAGCAATTATGGAGATGTTGCATGTGTGAGGGATTTGCAATTTGACCACTGGTTCTTATGTAAAAGTTCGCGAGAAACACGATGGTGCCCTTTTTAAGCTTGGGAGTTGATTTCAGAGAAAACCAGTGGCACCATCGTGTTTTTCGCAAACTTTTACATCAGAATCAACAGTCAAATCGCAAATTCCTCACAAATGCAACATCTCATCCATTAGCGATTTGACTACTGATTCTTAAGTAAAAATTTGCAAGAAACACGATGGTGCTACTGGTCTTCTCTGAAATCATCTTCCAAGCTCAAAAAACAGCTCTCAAGTTGAGGCCAAAATAGAGGGGATATCCCACGATATCCTCAGAGTCCACCTCTACCTCAAGACAAACTTTCCATGTAAAGATAGGGAGCAAATACATTAGCAGGGTTGCCGTGTTTTTAGTTTTAGAGTCCCCAAATAAAGTGGCAGCCCTGTCAATGTATTTGCTCCCTATCTTTGCATGGAGAGATTGTCTTGATGTAGAGGTGGACTCTCAGGATAGCGTGGCATATCCCCTCCAAATTGGCCTCAACTTGAGAGCTTTTTTGAGCTTAGGAGTTGATGTCAGAGAAAACCAGTGGCACCATCGTGTTTCTCGCGAACTTTTCATAAGAATCGTCAGTCAAATCGCAAATTCCTCACACATGCAACATCTCCATTGTGTAGTTAAAAAAGTGTCTGACATATTTAAATGTAGATTTTACAATAAAATAAGTGCTAATTCAACCACCCCCATGGGTAGATTAGCTTTCCACCAGTGTAAAATGTGCATTTGAAACATGTTGGACACATCTTTTAACCTAACCTATCCATAACCATTTATCAGATTCATAACCATTCATAACCTAACCTAACAATTATAGTGCTAGGGAATACGATTTCTGGCTGATTCGCAAAAACTCTTATGCGTACAGGCAAACTAATGGTGCATAAGCTCTTTCTGAAATTATACGTAACGATAATTTTTGCTCCTCAAAGACACAAATCGCAAAGCAGCGCGGCGTAGTGGCGAATCTCGTCCCTAGATCGCATAGAATCATTTTAAGTGTTTGCACTGCAAAAATGAGGCGTCATGATTCATCAGATCCGATATTGTAAATGCAAACTTAGACCTTCTTGAAATCCTTAGAATCAATAGTTCTGCGGTGTCTAGTCGCTCTATTATCCCTGCAATAAAAAGTTGCGTGATGTTATTTCCTTAATTATATGTACTTTCGGTGCGATTCACAATTTTTTTCGATAACCATGAAAGTATATTTTCTCTAAATTTTAATTTGTGCTCTCAGGTTCACCACAATCTGGAGACGTGTACACAACGCCGAGTGGGCTCCCGAAAGACAACGTAACGTCTGCACTTCCGGAAGTCAGCAGTCAACAACCCGTTTCCGTATCGTCGGCATCGTCCACCAATCCAGATCCTTCGATCTCGTCATCCTCCTCCTCGACAGGCCCCACCGAACCAACTCTGGCACCCTTCGAAACCAACGAGATCGATTTCAGCGGCTTCAACACCTCAAATTTCAGAGAGAGTACGTTATTTATACCACCTTACTCACCAATTAATACACATACTTATTTTGTAACGGTAAAAACAGTGAATATGTAGTCTTGTTCATGTATAAAATTTAAAAAAAAAAAAAAAAAAAAAAAAAAAAAAAAAAAATCATTTTGAAACTGGAACATATTATAGATAGTATTCGATACATCAAACGGGTGAGATTGTATCGATATCGATTGGTTCAAAACATAAACATAGCCTCCAAAGTAAATTCAGAAATCTGAAAGAACGGGTCTTTGGTAACAGATTTTTTTTTTCTTTTGAGTACCAAATGCGAATGCAAAGTGAAATTTTCAGGAAATTTCTCATTTTCAGCTTTTCCAACTTAAATCCTTACAGTTTGGTTGGAGGTTATGTTCTCTTGTTTTGAACCAAACGATATATCGAACCGTTATCGAATACGGTCTATTATGAAATCTAAAGGGCACAAATCCGGGGTCATTTTTTTCGAAATTTAAAAATTATCACAAGGATGCATGCTCTATTAATAACACCACTACATAATGATGTAACTAATAATTTTCTTTTAAGGGTGAGGGGTGACATAAAATATACGAAGACGCGTAGCTAAGATCCTTGAAATTCAGAAAAAAGCATTTATACTTATATATTCGTAGTAAAAAATGTTGGAGCTAACCAATTGAAAGCTAGTTCTCAGCATGTCCACCAGTTTTGGGAAGTTCCAGATCAATGAAAGCTCCCTGAAAGTATTTGCCAAACCTTAAAACAGGATGTACCTCGGAAGGTGCAATTTTTACTGAATTTGGATTATTGGAAACTTTTAACAAAATTAATCTAATGAACTTTGTATGGCGTAAACTCAGGAGAAAAATTATCCGAAAAAATAAAAATTTTGCTCCTTAACATGAGTTCAAACTATTTATGAGTCTTGAGCTCTAATGTAATACCCCAACCAGAAACTCTAATTCCTCAAAATTAAACAAAATGACTTTACCCCATTCAGTGGCCGTGGCTTCCGAATGCATATTTTTAATGACTTTTTTTAATTCTCTCTTTTAACATTATTTCCAGTTTGCGGAAGGAGGCTATTCCCTACTCCGAGGATCGTTGGAGGAGAGAAAGCATCTTTCGGAAAATGGCCATGGCAGGTAAGATCATAGGATTACATATATACATCATTTTTAGGCGGTGTTCATCAAAAGGAATTGATATAAAAACAATTGTTCAAACCGTTCAAGGAAATGAGGGTTCGACTTCGTTGTCAGGGCCGGATCTAGGGGATGGCCACATGGGCCGCGGTCCATGGCGGCAAATTTAGGGGGCGGCAAATTTTGCAATTTTTTTTAAATATAGGTATAAAAAAAATCGGATTCAGAAAAAAATTACAAACGAGAAAAGGGACAAAATCTCTCATTTACTGAGAGTATAGTAATTTCTAATTTTGTCATCATTCGGTGATACAAGAGACAGCACCTTTAATTATTCGAATTAAGAGAGAAACTAAACACGCAATTTGGCCTGGAACCGCGCGGCGCAGAGAGCAATGATGACAAGAACTTGAGTTGAACAGAAGAAACCCTCGGCGCGGCGCGGCGGTCGGCATGTAACACATATCAGCGCCTACAAGACTGCATGAATACTTCACGCATTCCGTCAAACACAGCGCGGTCAGCGTGAAACGCATAGTGCCTACAAGACTGCATGAATACTTCACGCATTGCGTCAAACACAGTGCGGTCAACAGCGATCAGCGTGAAACGCAAGGCGCCTACAAGACTGTAGGAATACTTTACGAATTGCGCCAAACCCATTGCGGTCAGCGCGGCGCAGCGGCGGAAGTTAAAATTGTTAAATCACATTTATGTTTGTTCTTTCATAATTTTTTCGTTCATTTCTTCAAATGGAAGGCATCGTCCACACAGAGGTAGGTATACGGAACTTAACTTTTGCGCAAAGTTTTGTGAACTTTTGCTAGTAGTATTGACAGGGTTTTCGCAAATAATGTGTCCAACAAGAATGAACGCGTCTAATGCACCCCTCCCCCTTTGACACGTTCACTTAATGGTTTTTATTGATGTTTCAAAACGAATGATAAAGGAGGCGGCAAAATGCAGGCGGCCCATGGGCGGCAAGTTGGTAAATCCGGCCCTGTTCGTTGTCTCTAAATTTCGTTTTTTAAAAGCGTAGTCCTCTTAGAGGAAGAGTACATATAAAAATTGAGCTTTGAAGAGCTCTTGACGATGATGCCTCAAATGATGATGATCACTTTTAGCCGTCTGATTTATTAATTCTTGAATTTATTACATTTTCTTTGGCTGAATAATTTTTAAACTTAAATCCTTAAGATTCGAATTGGACGAAACAATGGTTATCTCCGTTGGGATTTGTTAATGAAAAAACAGGGGAAACAATCATGACAGACGTCATCGTCATGAACGAGCGTTAAGATTTGCCGTTTAGAAGGGGAATACTGTAAGAGCATTTATATGTCGCTAAATTTTTTCCAATAAACTTTCTTTTATTCTAAAAAGAGAAAATAAAAATAAAAAGTTGAAATTATTTTCCTTCTATTCTCAGATTCACTTCAATAATTTTCGAGTCACATTTTCTAGAAAATTCATATTTTATTATGGGAACTTTGACAACGCACGAATATTCTTACGCCGTTTTTCTTCAGCACGACGCGGCTGCGTGTCCAGAAAGGCAGCGATAGTACCAGCAACCGTGCTGCCATGTAGAGTAAAAACGCCGTAAGAGCATTTGAATTTTGCTAAATTTCCCCACAAAATATATTTATTTATGAAGGAAGGTAGGAATATTTTTCTTTGAAATTTTCAAACTTTTCAGACCAAATTTTGAAAGAAAACCTTTTAAAATCGGAACGAATATTCACAAATTTTCCCGAAAATTCGTGATTCTTGGAAGGAAATTTGGCAACGCCTGAGGTTTTTTACGGCGTTTTTTCTAACAACGCGGCAGTGTGATGCTCCTACAGTCCTACCTGTCTACTGACCGCTAATTTGGTCCTCCCTCCAAACTTATTTCTCTCGCCGACCGTTCCTTGTCCGTTAATCTGAGGAGATGAAACAATTGTTGTGATTAAAATACCGTGAAAGAATTCCGTGTCCTTAAAGATGGGCTTCTGTGCAGCCCCCTTCCGTGCATCTACTCCTCTCTCCCATTGGTATCGTTTCTCAGTGCTCTTCGCTTGTCGTAAGATTTTTGACGCGATAATTAACGAAACTTTTGCACGATAGCAAGGTCATTGCCACCGGAAATTAGTATCTTTTCTGCGCCTCCTCGTTTTCCCGTTGAACTTAGAGTAGAATACTGCCGTGCTAAGGAAAAACGCCGTATGGACCTTCAGGCGTTGCCAAATTTCCATTTCTAAAACACAAATTTCCTGGTGAACTCGTGAATATTTTCCTTCCAATTTTTCGGATAATGTTGTTTGCAATTTCACCCACAATTCCTGAAACTTTCAAGGAAAAATATTCATAACTTTCCTCAAAAATAAACATTTTACTGGAGAGGTGGTCCTCGGCATAACTGTTTCACTATATTCGATCCATAGCACAGAGATGGTCGCTGGATATACGCTGGAAAAATTCTGAAAAAAGTCAGAATTTGCTCATAATTTGCATACCACATTTATTCGTTTTGACCTTTTTCAAAAGACGAATAGAAAAACAGAGGTAGCGTCAGAATCATCAGACTTTGTCAGGAATTTTGACACAATTTCTTACGAGACAAGATTTGTAGATAACTAAAAGAAAAGACTCCAATCCTCATATGAGCACCTATTACAGCACAGAGCTTGTTTTTTGCCAACCTCAGAAATTGAAGGTGAAATATTTATCAACGTAACATTCTATGAACGTATTTCTGCCAAACGGAACTATGTGCATTATGACGTGAGCCCAATTATGCATACATTCTCACGGGTCTTAGGGCCCATATCTCAACGCACATAGTCCTATTTGACAGAGATACGTCCATATATCCTTGTGTCAATGCATCTTGCAATCAGAAAACATCTCAGGTCGTAACAGGGGATACCCTACCTGTGACATTTCTTTCCATCGCCCTTCCCCCACCCACCTTCCAATGTAATATGTCCCAGTCCCATTAGTTTAAAACTTACCTTCTTGTGATATTTTATGATTTCCTTTTTTATTTCCAGATATCACTGAGACAGTGGAGAACTTCGACGTATTTGCACAAATGCGGAGCTGCTCTGTTCAACGAAAATTGGGCCGTTACAGCCGCTCATTGCGTGGAGAAGTAATTATTTAGATTTATACATTTTTATAATTTTACGAGAGCAGTCAACAAAATTTAACAATAATTTTACCGAGAGCCTGTCTTCATTTGTTTGATTTTTCATCTGTACATTTAATGTACCGCCTGCTCAAATGAGAAAAATAGTGTGCTTATTTCTTTCAGCTTTTTTTTAAGTATGAAAAAAGAAAACAAGAGTGACTTTCAATCACCCGTCATCTCATTTTTTTTTTTTTAAATTGTATATTACCAAGCACCTACAATGTCATAAATTATTGACCAGTCAGTCCAATAAATTCAAAATATCAAAGTTCAGTTATATGACATTACTGAGCAATAAAGGTTTTTCTACTTAGGAGTGTTGATTTAAAAAAAAAACAACAACATTAAATTTGTAAGGCATATTTTCCGTATGCACCGTTATGTATCGTTATCTACATACTTATGCACGCAAAATTGTATTCATCTGATTTGAAGGCACTTCTTCACACCCATTGTACAATCCGCTGCGCTGCGTCTATCATCCTAGCCTTAACAACCGCGAAACTAGGTTTAGCTTTACATTGTCTTTTCCAGCAACTCGCTGCATGTTGACTCGCACCCAATCTTTTTTTAAAAAAAAAGGTGCTATGTATCATATTATTTCCTACTTGGTGGGAAACAGTTGAATGTTGGAGTCTCAAAAGTAATAACTTCCAATTTGGAGTTTCTTGCACAGAGCGGATACTCTCCATATGCACTGTGATGTTTAGATGTCACGGGTATTTTCATCAGACATTTTATCGAATGTTTAGGCAGATAGTCAAATTTTCAGAGTTTGCAAGATTGTTTTATGTTTTCACAAATACCTCTCGAATTTTCAATATTTTGGGAGTAAAAGTCCATCAACGTATCAACTGTCATTGTATTTTTCGTTAAAAAAAGCTCCTCATATTACCTGCACCAGCAAAATTGTAAAAAACTCTTCATTTTATAAAATTCTGCTTAATTTGACGCATCGGTGTATTTAAGGACCAAGTAAATGTATTTAACCTTGTTTGAAGCAAATTTTAGAGAGAATTCTTTCTCACCTGATCAGCAAATTATTTTGTCCACCATTAGCACACATCAGAATTCCAGTCTATGTAAAAGATATTGGACTATTTGCTTAGAAATTTGATAAAATGCCTGATTCGACCATTTGCCTGCGACTTAGGCAATCATTTGTTCATGCATACGAAATTGCGTGCGTCCAATTCAAGGCACTATTCAACACCAACGATCTGGAAACTGTATAGATAGGGGGATCCTATGCTACACCAATGGTGAATTTCGTAACACACTTGGAGCAACAGTTAGGTTAAGACGAGAATAGTAGGTTTCCATGACTTCTTATGGGACTGTTGCTGAACAATGACTTATATAATATACAATTCGCAACCAACTGTTTGAAAATCTGTGTCCAAATCTGAAATCTAGCTAATCTTCAACTGAGTTTACGATACAAATTTCAACGCTTAATCATTTATTGTAAAAACTCCCGTGAGATCCCATGTATTTGAGGTTATGACGAAGATAGCAATCGACCATTAACATTCCCCACTCACCTATCAAATGACCGCTCCATGTGTGTTACGTTCAGAACCAAGAGACCCTCCAGTCCACTAGTATCTTGGCCATGGTGAAAGCTTTTACTTTCGAGACTTCAGCATTCCACTGTTGACATGCCTACATGGTTGATGTTCAACAACGTGTTGGCAGCTTTTTTTTGCAAACAAGCCGAAAATGGCCGAAGTTTGGGAGACTTGTTTGGCTCATGACGTCACCCGAAGCTCATCATCCACCATGTAGGTAGGTCAATAGCCGAAATTAGGGTGATGACTGTTGCTCCCTTATAATTTTCCATAAGGAATTGTTGAATCCCCGAAAGTAAAAGCTTCCCCCTATCGCCAAGAGGTCAGTGGAGGGTATCTTGTCTCTGGTTGCGTTTTTTCGTAAGCCATCGCCAATCCACAGTTTCTAGATCGTTGTTCAACACCAAATCTTTCAACTTGCTGCATCTGCGATGCGATGATCCTGGAAAGGAGGTTAATAGCTTGGCGTTGTGTTTTTCAGCGTGCCGCCGAGTGACCTGCTTCTGAGGTTGGGCGAGCACGATCTGTCGATCGAGAACGAGCCGTACGGGTACCAAGAGCGACGGGTCCAGATCGTGGCGTCGCATCCCCAGTTCGACCCGCGGACCTTCGAGTACGACCTGGCCCTCCTCCGCTTCTACGAGCCGGTCAAGTTCCAGCCCAACATCATCCCCATCTGCGTCCCGGAGGACGACACCAACTTCGTCAGCTCCACCGCTTACGTCACTGGATGGGGACGACTTTACGAAGGTATTTCCCCATGATTTGTTTTCGTTTTCAGGTATACCATCGTGCCAGGGTCAGATTAAGGGGGTGGCCACATGGGCCGCGGCCCATGGCGGCAAATCTAGGAGGCGGCAAATTTTGCACTTTTTTTAAATGTAGGTATAAAAAAATCGAATTTAGAAAAAAAAATACAAACAAAATCTCACATTTCCTGAGAGTATAGTAGGTTCTAATTTTGTCGTCTTTCGGTGATACAAGAGACAGCACCTTTAATTAATCGAGTTAAGAGAGAGACCAAACACGCAATTTGGCCAGGAACGGCGCGACTGAGAGAGAAAAGATGACAAGGACTTGAGATGAAAAGGAGAAGCCCTTGGCGCGGCGGTCGGCATGTAACACATATTAGCGCCTACATTCCTAAAAGACTGCACAAATATTTCACACATTGCATCAAACACAGTGCGCTCAGCAGCGGTCGTCGGCGAGAAACTCATAGCGCCTACAAAACTGTCGGAATACTTCACGCATTGCTCCAAACACGGTGTGGTCTGCGCGGCGCGGCGGAAGTTAAAATCATTAAACCACATTTATGTTTGTTCTTTCATAATTTTTTCGTTCATTTCTTATGAATGGAGGGCCTTGTCCACGCAGAGATAGGTGTTAGAAACTTAACGTTCGCGCAAACTTCGGTGAATTTTTGCTAGTAGTGTTGACAGGGCTTTCCCAAAAATTTTTCCAACACGAGTAAACGCGTCTTATGCACCCCAACCCCGCTGGCACGTTCACTTGATGGTTTTTATTGATGGTTCAAAACGAATGATACGGGGGCGGCAAAATACAGGCGACCCATGGGTGGCAAGTAGGTAAATCCGGCCCTGCATCGTGCTAAGGAAGAACGCCCTATGAACATTCGAGAGTTGCCGAATTTCCCTTGATGAAACATGTATTTTTAATGACATTCGTCCATATTCTCCCTTGAAATTTTCAGATAAAAGATTAAATTGCATACAAGATTTTCTGAAATTTTTGGGGGGGAAAATTTACAATTCTTCCGGTAAATTTGGTTTTTATTGAAGAAAACTTGGCAACATCAGAAGGCTCATATGACGTTCTTCCTTAGCACGGCAATATAGGCAAAAATGGATTGCACTTCGCAAAAAGGAACCAGCAGTAGTTCAAAGTCGCTAGGATTGTGCAACTTGTTTCACGTTGCAAATATGAACTGATCATCTAAAAAAGTTTTATCTTTACTCCCGGTAAACTATGAATTCAAGACAAAAATTACCTTCGTAAATTTAATTTTTTGCATGATTTCAGTAATTTTTTTGCAAAGAATGTAAGTTGCATAACTATAGCAACACCAGAGGACTCTTGGCTCCTTTTTGAAAAATACAATCCAAATCATGAAAAAACTAACGCTGCATTCCGGAGGGAAAACGCTTCAAAACATTTGAACGTTTCCAAATGGACTGCATTCTGCAATTAGGAACCAAAATTTCTGGTTCATCCGTACAAACACTTAATTGCATAGGGATACTAATGACACATACATTGTTTCTAAACGGAGCCACAAATTGTGGTTCCTAATTACTAAATGTGGTCCGAATGTGCCTCTATTATGTTTGAATCACTGTGCGGCATATTTTCTTCAAAATTCATGAGGGAAATTGATGAAAAAGTAAGAAGTCTGGAAAATCGAACCCCAGAAAAGATAAAAGTGTCTACAATTCACATTGATTGAACGGCAAAAGCACAAACAACGTCATTTACATAATATAACTTTTATTTTGTCACGAATACTTGTTATAACTCATTCAAGATTGATTTCAGAACTTATTTTTGTGTGACTTTTGCTGTCCACGTAAAATTCTGAAGAGACAATTTGCAAGGTTTTTTCTAGTCCCAACTAACTTGTTGCCCACTGATGTAGAGCGTCTTTCAAAGAAAAATGATTGATTTAATCAATTATCAGTTGGTACAGATAGTTATCTTCTATGTGCATTGCAAGAGGTATCATTCAAAATCGGAAGGCGCGTGTAATTGATCTATAGCGTTAATTGTTTTATAGAAATATGATTGATCTGATCCATGTTTAATTGTTACAGATGGACCTCTTCCGAGTGTCTTGCAAGAGGTATCAGTGCCAGTTATCAATAACTCGGTGTGTGAAACTATGTACAGATCAGCTGGTTTCATAGAGCACATTCCTGAAATATTCATCTGTGCCGGCTGGAGGAAAGGAGGCTTCGATTCTTGCGAGGTGAGAATTTAACTCACTTAAACTCATTTCGATTGATTGAAGGTGAAATAATGTCTGGAAATGATGTTGATCGTAATAAATCAAACAGGTTTGACTGAATTCCTTGACAGCAAATATAGCAAAAATTGAAAAACAGAAAATGAAAATGTGTCATTATCGGGCCGAGAGAACTTAACGAAAATCCCAAATTGCAAAGTATGACAAATTTTTGACAAAATAAGACTACGCAATTTCTGTTCATAATTTTACCGAATTTTGCGTGTAATCGAAAGAGTAATCTGGCAAGTCTAACACTTTTTTTTGGGGTCACACTTTTTATAGTCATTTCATTACGTTGAACATCTCCATTGCACTTGCAAACAACTGAATTTTTAAGTCCAATAATAACGAACGCATTACTCATCGAAAAACATGACGTTATTAACCGCAAGAGTATATACGATGGTTTCTTCTACCTTGAGTAGATGGGTTCGAGATACACAAATGTGCACTAAAACAAAGAAGAAACCATGGTGTGTACCACCTCGGATGATGCTGTCAGGTCGGAGAAGTCCTCTGAATCTTACGGTTATGTTCATAGTTAACTGACTCTATTTTTTTCTGCTTCAGGGTGACTCTGGTGGCCCGATGGTGATCCAAAGGCCCGACAAAAGGTGGCTCCTCGCTGGTGTCATCTCGTGGGGAATCGGTTGCGCCGAACCCAACCAACCCGGAGTTTACACCCGGATATCGGAGTTCAGAGACTGGATCAATCAAATCCTGCAGTTTTGATTGTCGCGACAAATTTCTGTGATGTAATATAATTTCAGTCTAGAGCGAGACTCCTGAAAAATCCAGGGTTTTGCAAGACTCAAAGACTGCGAAGTGAAAACTCTCACTGCAGTGGCATGGCGTGCTTTGCGATATATCGATTTATCTGTCATTTAAATCTATGGAAAAGTATCTATAGACAGGACGTTCGCAACGAATACCCTAATAATCGATTCTTCACCATAGGTTTAAATAGAGAAATATCGATAATTGATCATTCATGCCTCGCCACTGTCACGCTGAAAAAAGTACACTGTTGAAAAGAGTAACACTTGGTGCCCATGTATAGATAAGATCGAGTCAATTTGACTCCAACTTTGAATCAAAGACTACATTTCAATTAATTTGACTCTAATGTCCCCTAGGAGACAGTAACTGAATCTTAATTAATGAAAAAACATAAACGAGGTCAGCCTCAAGTATTTGATGAGACAAATTTTAAAAATGTTAACATAATTTCAAATGACTGTAACATAATCTAAAAATAAGTTTGAGTCTGATCTGATTCGATCCACGAGTCAGTCGACTCAGCTTGTTGTCTGTAAGGGACGAGAATTTTAACAGTGTATCAAAAACTGTTAGTTTGACCAGATTTCATGAAAACTAGAGATCGAAAACCGGTTTTGTTTGTTGCTCATGTTCAAATAACCAGTCAAATATTGCAATTTTCCACTTTTTCATTTAGCGCATTTACGATTAATTTTTGAAGTGTATCTTTCCGCTAATTTTTGCCGCTAAAAATGGTCTCCAAGTATCCGCGTAACAGCTGTAGAGTATTCTTTGAAAGTCAATTTTTTCATAAAGAATATTTAGAAGAATATTCATCTCAGGAATATTCAGAGGGCGAGGATTGTCTCACGTAAAGTTCTTACAGACTGATTTGGTGGCTCTACCTCATTACTTGCGAATTTCGATAAATCGGCGTTCGGTGGTTTTGATATAGACGGTTCATTTGTAAGGACCTCGTCATCGAGTAGCGATGAAGACATTTTAATTTCGAGAAACTTTTGGACAGTTTCAATCATTGCAACGCAATTACATCTAAGTATTGACTCCACTTTTTAAAAAGGCAACTACAGCAATATTTCTGTGACCTTTCTCGTTCAATCTTAGGAAGGAGTAACAGCATGTGCACTGTTATCTTAATTTCTTGTTGTGAATGCCACTTTCCACAAGAAAGATGTATGTAATTAGACATTAGTTATGGATTTAAAATCCAAAAATCTGTACATAGTTTGGGAACCAAAAATTTTACAAGCAATTTTTCGAAAACCTACTGCATTAATTTTACTACCAATACATATCCGCGACCGTGCTATCAGACGGATAAGTGTTGTCTAAAATGTATAAATATACGGAAAAAGAAAAGTTTCACTTAGATCCATAAAAAGGTTCCAAAATTCGATTGCAAAATTCTTCAATTTTTTTCATCGGAAAAAAGAACACATTTTTAAGGATCGATGAACAGTAAAATTTTGCAACGCGAAGGATTTTGTCACAATTATTGAAATTCAAAAAGGGGCAATGAGGCATCCTAGTTCCTGGGCGATTTCTTAATTTGACGTGGTATAAACTGAATCAGGGATATATGAAACATTTTAACCAAAGCCTAAATAACACAAAGTCCTCGAATTATGAATGGCCCTATTTAAAACCTTAGACTTGACCTTTGATTTTGATTTTTCTGTTGAAAATTTTCCCTGGTGAACCTTTCAAATGTTTGATGGTCTAAAACGTATAATGTATTGACACCAAAAGGTGTAATTAGTAAGTAAGAATAAATTATTTTCTTTTTTATCTTCTTTTGCTTGTAATTAAAAATTATTTTTAAAGAATTTGATTAGTTACTGGCGATGTAGGAAGCGTTTTTGACAAGTGTCGGTTCAATTACAGGTAAAATGGTTCAATATAATGTATGGTATTTCATTGTTTTTAAAACAAGCGCTGCAACGATACGCATAAAAATGGGGGTATTGGTTTTATATTTTCTGAATATAAAAATTACCACTCATATTTCTAATATTGTTAAGAAATGGAATGAGCGTAGTTTTACTTTCTAAGAATTGTACCCTGTATAACTTGAGTTAAGAAAACACATACATAAACAGATATTACTTCTCAAGTCTCTTGTGAGCCCACGATTAAAGTCTGTATATATTCGGCTATAACCATAATGTAATTTTTCAGAGGCATTTCTAAAAGCTGAGTTGAACGACATTGAATTTGATTAAGAACCTTCCTATTGAAACTGCGATAATGTAACTATACGGTTGTAAATACAAGTACATTACTTTTATTACATTTTTATTTATTAACTGGGATGTCCCCTCCATTGTGATAATTAAGGATGCCTACTCATATACAACGAATACAGGTGTTCTTGCTAAATTTAGAATTTTCTGCCAATATTTTTAGAGATATGTCGACGAAATACTCGCACATCAGACAACTATGGAATTCTGCCCTTATATCTACAACAAGGAGACCAGTACTATGATGATTTTAAATCTCATTTTTATTGTAAACAGGTATTTCAAGCGATCCTCGTTAAAATTATTTATTTTATTAAATAAATTTAAAATCTAAAACCCATTGGTTTATTGTTCATCGATTGTTGTTACATCATTCCTTTAATACCAAGTCTTATTTAATGCGGTGAAATTGAAGGCCTTTGAACGAGTCCAAGGCGACCCGCAACTTAGAATTCTTACTAAGGGCATTTCGCTGCGCCGCGCCACCGCGCCTTCATCGAACGTGTGCTTCGATTTCGAGCAACTATTCTAACTCTCCGGAGATCAAATTGCCTATAGGACAAAATGAAGGGGTTTTAAGGGAATCCGATGCGACGCGACATGAATCTCAGGCATTCAACGTTCCTGGGCTTAGCCACTGACATTCTTTCCGACAATTATCGTGGATATAATGTCTAGAACTAGAGTCAGGGAATTTATAAAATATATTATCATTTGAATTCTTTCAGAACAGTAATCCCCAGTACCGTGACAGGACACTCTACCATTTTCTGATTGGTAAACTCTTCGGTCATGAAGGTGCGTTTCTAAATTACGTCATGCTCAACGGGGAGGTCGAGGAGAGCTTTCCGCCATTTTGTTTTTACGTGTTTTAATAGAATAGGGACTTAAGTCTCAAAAACGTTACGAGGGGGTAAAAGGGAGTAAAATATTCCGGGAAAATGGACCGCGTTAAACAGAAAGGAACCAAGCCACATCAGCTATTGCCAAATTTAATTGGGCAATTTAATTTTCTACATGAAAACGATTGTACAGATTTTCGTGCAAATTTCAGTGAATTTTCTCTGTATTACGAAGCAAATTCCTCAAAATTTTCAAAGGTATCCGCACAAACGCTCTCTCATAAAAAATTAAATCGATCAGTTAAATTTGACAATAGCTGATGTGGCTTGGTTCCTTTCTGTTAAACGCGGTCCAATGCATTACGTAAGTTAGGAGCTATCCCTGATCGATTTAATAAGTACTACCAGGAAACTTTAACTTACATTTAGGAAACTGAACAAGGTTCTGTGCCGCCTTACGTGGAGCGAAACCCACTTTGTCGACTTCCGGCCAAAGTATCACGAACGCCGTGCAATGTTTAAACTTTCCACTGACATTTTATTTTTTTACAGAGGAATTGTTCAACGAAGCTGTCCAAAAATTTTCACTGAATTTAATAGGCTTATTATAGGCTTATCTAATAGGTTTATTTTTTAATTTTCAATGAAAATTTAGTGAAATTTTCGGACGGCTTCGTTGAAAAATTCTCTGTAAAAAAATAAAATGCCGTCAGAAATATTTAAACATCACAAAGCGCTTGTGATACTTTGGCCGGAATATGACGATTTATGAACGCGCCCTAGCCTGCATTTTTGGGCGAATCTGGACGTTGACTTCCAATGGTAACTTTTAGTCTATTGGGAGATAGTGGATCCTGAATTGGGGCCTCTAAAATCTCTGGGTCTCGCGTAAGATCAAAAATTATGTAAAATTATTTATACGTGCTCTGCGTATTTGCTGCATGCGATTCATATTTCGCTCTGATGCACTTTCCTGCACGCGGCGGTATCGAAAGACAATGAGGACTGCAGCACAGTTCTTTGTCTGTGGGCATTTTTTGTTGTTTGATTGAGTCATAAAATGAAGCGTAGAAACGTAGCATTTCACACTCGTCGGTGCTGGTTATTTCCTCCTTCATGCAGGGAACGATGCACTTGGTTGCCGCTAGTTGTGCCGAGTTCTATACTGCCGTGCTAAGGAAAAACTCCATATGAACATTCGAGAGTTGCCAAATTTCCTAAGATGAAATGTTTATTTTTGAGGAAAATTGTGAATATTTGTCCTTGAAATTTTCAGACTATTTAGATAAAATCAGAGGCATAATTATCTTAGAAATTGGAAGAAAAATATTTGAAAATTTGCCTGAAAATTAGTGATTTGCCAGAGGAAATTAGGCAACGCCTGAAGGTTCATACGGCGTTTTTCCTCAGCACGGCAGTATACTCTCTTTTCACGCGAGTGTGTTTCAACGTTTTCGATGTGCGTTATGCCAATTTTGATTGGATTTTCGAATAAAATGGGGGAGTTTTTTGGGCTGTTAATAGTCATATTAGGTTTTTTTTCAAAATTTAGACATTTAGTCAATCGAGAATGTGTAAGCCAATTTTTATTGCTTTATCTAAGAGTGCTTAAAGAGCTTACTCGAGAGTATTTATCATTTTTTTCTGATATGGGAGACACTGATTCGATCGAAAAATTACTAAAAAACCTGTGTCGGTTTGGTCGACATGAATCGATTGAAACGCGAAAACGTGAACCGATCGACGTGATTGACAAAATTCGATCAACTCACAGATTTGTCGATCGATTCAAGAAGTTACCGATCGATCCACGTGTTTGTCGATTGACTCATGGCTTTTGTCGATCGATTCACGCATATTCGATCGATTCATGCATTTGTCGATCGATTCACGGTTGTCGATTGATTCACGTCAATCGAGTTACATTTTTGTTTTTCGATCGATTCATGTCGATCGAATTGACACTGGTTTTTTAATATTTGTCGATCGAATCGGTGTCGATTGATTCACGTTTTTATTTTCCAATCGAATTCATACCCGCCCCTTCCATTTTGCCAAAAGGAATCACCCACACTTGTACATTGTTTCCTATACAGCTCAAACAAGTATACCCCACCTTTCTAACGCGTCTCCAGTTTCTCTAGCATAAATACGTCCTTATAAGCGCTGTCTCCTCTCGTCAAAATGGCGCACACTGTGGTATTTGACCGAAAAACCTGGCCAAAACCTCAATTTTAAATTTTTTTTTAGTGGAAAACCAATGTGATATTCGAAATCTACACTGTTTTTTACCCTGGTAGACATGTATGTACCATTTTTTGAGTGGCTCAATTTCCCGCGAAGAGACCACAAAGTTACCTATTTCTCAGCGATTATTTTGATATGTTTCGGCGCGCTACTCGTCGATCAGTTTACTTCAACTGTGCGATCATAGGAGGGAGGTTCGGCGATATGCAACACATTCTTAGGGGTATATCCTACACAACTAACCACAGTATTTTCGAAATTTCTTTTTTTAGTGATTTTCACAGGAGGTTGATAAGTGATGTAAAAGTAAACGTTTTTTTCGAAATTCAGAGGCCGATATCTTTTTTCTCTCAACTGTTCTCAAGCAGTTTGAGGCGGGATGTTATAGTCCGAAGTGGGTATTTTCAGGATTCAGGGCTGACAGACTGAGGAAAACTGAGGAAATTGAAATTTTTGACTTTAAAGATGGACTTTTGAGCGATTTTCACAAAAATGAATGGGAAAAATTATGTCGATATGATGACTGAAATTGTATTTTTCCAACAGCTCTGACCCATTCAGTACCAATTGGGTGATATTTGGTCACCCAACCTGTTTTTTTGGCCCCTACGCCCTCGAAAGAGGGATTAAAAAAAATAATTTGAAAGCGGATGGGAGGGTCACTTTAAAGTCTTGCAAAAGTGTTTAATCCGTTATCTAACAATCTCTTCGTGCATTATCCTTGAGTATAGACATATTTATGCCATGATTTACTTTGACAGACAAATTTGAGTTCATGCGGCCCCGGGGATGGGGCTTTAAAAGTGGCCCTCTGGCACCATGAAATTACGCTGTGAGGCACATTTGAAGCCTCATAAAAGTGAGATATGTGGTTTTCTTACAAATTTCTTAGTGAAGTGCTTCACTTTGAGATGTGGAACCATGGATTAGGAAGGAACCCATCAAAATGAATCTTTTTCACAGGTGCTTTCTGTCCTTACAATGGTTCTTATTATGATAAAACTCATTTTCATCTTATAATTTTTCCTCAAATCATCATATGGAGGTCCCGGCACTTCCATATTAGGACTAATTTTGATTCAAAACTGTCAAAAATCTAATATCTAGAATGATTCATATTAATTTTTTTGAGAAATGTACAATTACTCCTCAATGTGAGAGATCGGCTGTTTTGTCAAAAATGTTGAAGTGACTTACGCTGTTTTAAAAAAAAAAAAACCATTAATGAGGTAATAGAAAGTAAGAAAGTCCTTATTTCGAAAAGTAGACCATAGGTGAAGGAGAAACTCGTCTAAATGCACCGCTTTAGTTAGATACTTTGCGTCCTTTTAAAGGCTTTTTGGAGGGTTTCTTGCACCCTCTTTAAACTCTCCGCAAATTGTCATATGATGTGTTAGGTGGTTAAATTGTGCATATTATCACTTAAGAAGAAGTACTGATTGTAAAATATTTTTAAAACTCGGCGATATCTGGTGATAAATAGTTTTGGCCAGCTTTTCAGGTCCAATACCACAGTGTGTGGCGCCAAAATGGAAGCTCAAAGTGAATCATTTCAACGATACGTGGCTCAAAGTCGGGACTTGATGCGATTGATGAGTGTTGCATCTCAAAATAGAGCGGCGCGACTGTTTTTTCATCAAGTATCGTGAACAGATCGTATTTATCGGTTCACTTTGAGCTTCCATTTTGACGAGTGACCACAGGACTATAGTGTGTCTGCTACTGGTACGGTGATTCTGTTCACACCACGTTCATCGATACGTCAATCGTAACCGTGACGTCACACCGCGCTGGATGAGGATCCGTGCTCGGATGCATGGTGTCATATGGTGTTTTGATATGGTTGGACGCGCGCGCGTGGACCCCTGCGAGTGTCCGAGCGCTCGCTGGCGCGCGCGGGTTTCTTGCCGCGTTTTGCTAAATGCTCCCAACGTTTCCATGTTTTCGCGCATGGTTGCGTCGCATCAGTATCGCTCGCCGCGCCTCAGTTGATAACATTATGGCTATGGAGGCGATCCGAATCGCCCACTGTTTCGTGCTTGTGAATCACGTGGTTGTGTTAGTGCACGCTTTTGGATCTCTGCTCGACTTAGGAACTAACGGTAAGCTCGACTTTTCGTCTCCGCTTCTACCCTTTTGTGACTGACAGGTGGACCGAGTTCATTAGAAAGGAATAGGGTGGCATGGAATGTGAGAAAAAAATGGACCGCGTTCAACAGAAAGGAACCAAGCCACATCAGCTATTGCCAAGTTTAACCAGGCAATTTAATTTTTTACGAGAGAACGTTTGTATGGATTCCTTTGAAAATTTTGAGAAATTTTCTTCGTACAATAGAGAAAATCCGCTGAAATTTGCACGAAAATCCGCACAACCGTTTTCATGTAAAAAATAAAATTACCCAATTAAATTTGGCAATAGCAGATGTGGCTTGGTTCCTTTCTGTTTAACGCGGTCCAAATGAAAGATTGAAAATTTCACGAGGCTGTGAAATATTCCATATATTTCAGGGGATAGAGTACGCAACCCGCACTTAAACATACAAAAATAGAAGAAAGTTCCAATTTTTAAATTTTGCGAAACATGAAAAGGAACCAGTGTTTTTCAATATCTTTCATAAATTTCTGAAATGTTATGAAATATTTCACGTGAAATTTCAAGATTTTATTTTTCATGAAATTTCGCCACCCTGGAGAGGAACCAGCCCTCATTTTGAAATTGAGAAATAGGAGTTTGAAGTTTTATTCCCGCATAAGGCTCAATGTAGAATATAAACTTTAACCCCTCTTTTCACAGACTAATTATCCTGTTTCCCGACTTTCAGTTTTTGGCAGGGGAAAATATACGGCTAGTGGAACTCCAAAACATTCTTAACTTTTTTCGAAAATGTGGGTTGGTTCCTTTCTGATAAACTGAGTCCAGGTGACACCTATAGAAGACTATTTAGGAATGTCTTACTGACAAAATAACACAAATGAGTTGTAACCATTGCGAAAAAAAGTAAACGACAGGTTATCAAAATTTTTTCAGAGCATGGTCTTGTTTGGAATGATACAACCTGGTCCTATTTTTTATATTCTTTTACGTGTTTTTATGTAACTGAGGAAGGCTGCATGCGACGTTTCCAGCTAAAACATCTTGGTGAATGTGTCCTTTTCTAGCCTTGATACCCGCAGTTGTAATGTTTAAAAAAGTAAAGAACAAAAAGTCTGGAACCTTTCGGAGTCATTTCACCCCTATTATCAAACATCTACCAAAAAAAAAAAAAAAAAAAAAAAAAAAAAAAAGATCACCAATGTTTAAAAAAGGTGGAGGAATGGATCATTAGCTTACTTTCGACTTTTAAGAATCTTTGATTACGCTTCATTCTCCTCCAGGAAAACTAATCAAAATGCTTCCTTGCAATTTTCTGTGATTTAGTTAAAATTAGTACAGAAAATTCGCAAAATAATTCAGTAAAATTTATTATACAAATGGTTTTCCTCCAAAATGATAAAACATGCGGAAACTTACAACGTCGTAAAGTTCAAAGTTTACCGTAAAACGCATATGGTTCAAAAACACAAACATAATTGAACCGCGTTTAACAGATACGAACCAAGCCACATCAGCTATTGCCAAATTTAACTGGGCAATTTAATTTTATACGTGAGAACGTTTGTGCGGATTCCTTTGATAATTTTAAGGAATTTGCTTCGCGCTATGGAGAAAGTTCACTGAAGTTTGCACAAAAAGTCAATATGGTAGATGATGAAACGAGAACTTTTTTTCTAATAGTAGCTTCACAGGCAAAGATTAGAAAATAAAGCAACATCTCATGATACCTCATGACTTCATACGTAAAAATACTGGCAAAAATAGTGCAGGACGAATACAATATTGTGCAGCTTCACGGTTATTGAAATAACCTAGCAGTCTGCTGTGTTGAGCTACTGTCTGAGCACATACCTTCTTGGGCCTCACACGACATTTGAATCGTCCATGAGAAAACGCATTAAATTTTTATAATTTTCTCGACAACACTTTTCCGTGCTTCTTTTAAAGCTTTCCATCATCAATGCCGTTTGCATGTCTGTGTTACATTTTTCTTACACATGCACTCGTGTAATAAATATTTTTATTTATGATCGTAAAAAAATATGTTTTTACTGGACCACCATGCATTACCAGCTTTTCATGCAACTCGATGCTGTTGTTGAAAGCAACTACATGTTTATTATTTTTTTCACATTAAAACTAATTTCAATTCATAAAGTTGACGGGTTTCTCTTCAAAAAAAAAAAAAAAAATAGAATTGAAGCAGACATTTTGAAACACTGCTATGGAAATACGTGATTTCGCGCTTTAGCCATGTAAATGTGTCATTACTTTCCGGGCAGAAGTAGCATGTGCCTTATAGATTTTTTAGCACAAAAGTTAAAATACAAACCTCAACGGTCAACTGCTATAGCATTGTTTCAATTTTAATTAAAATTATACAACTATTATCCATTTCGAGGAGTCTCAGTTCCTTAACCGGAGTTTCGGTTTACCTATCGGTCCGTGAAGAGTTGTCAAGGATCTTTCTCGGGATTTCGTGGTCCATCAGTTTTCTATCGATCGATTAGAAGAATGTCAACTCAAATTAGGAACTGGCATCCGCCGAAATAATTAGTTTGCCAGTCGGGTTTCTGTCTCCCATCTTAAAAGAACCTCTCTGTCCTGTGCAATTTATTTCTTTACACACCAAACACTCATATTCTTGCTTCTAACTTGAGAGGGATGAAATTTTTCACGTGAGTACTTCAAATTCTATATAAAGCCTTATTATATGTATTTTGCCTTGATTCTAGTTCGGTCGAAAAGATAATGATACGACTTAGATCGGATTTTTCTTTGAATAGTATTGACACGATGTTCTTCATATGGTATAATGTCTGAAAATATTTCTAAAATTCAAATATTTTGGAATACTTTATATATTTTGTAATAAAAATTGTCAATTTGAAGTATTTTTTACCTTTACAACGGAACTGTCTCTTAAAAAATTCCGCACTTTTTTTTACGGTTCACTCTTTTTCCGTCTCTTTTTACTTAATCCGTTTAAATAGAAGATGATTAACTAAAAATCGCGCGTATATCAAGAATACTTAAAATGGCAAATACTTCGATTAAATATATTTCATAGAAACTGAAAATTTGAATATACCCTCCTCCGATTGAACGTCCTTCATTATTCGAGCCGCCCATCAATTGTCAAAAAGCTCTATTTTGAAAAAATAACGTGATAATTTGCGTTTATAGTTGTTTTTAAAAAGGACAATATTTTACCTTTGTTGTAAAAATTTACCATTATCACGAATAGAGAATATTCAATTTTTGCAGGCAACCCAAGTAGTGTAGATTGCAAAAAATTGCAAATTCATTAAAAAATTATTACTACTGCATCAAAATGTTGTATATATTGCCTAGCTACTGACTGAAAGGACCCCTGTATTCCTTATCGCATTAAAATTGAAATAAGTCGCAATATTTCTTTGCATTAAAAATTGCCTATCTACCTAACACACAGAACTTGTTTCATTGATTGTTGAAAACGGCATCAATTGATCAAATGATATAAAAATATTTTAATCTTATTTTGAAAAGAAGAAAAAAAACATAATATTTGTACATTAAATCACAATTGAATCAGTGAGAACGAAAACATACCAACTTGAAAAATTCACTAGACACACAAAGTTGCACAGAAGTTAGTAAGAAAAATATTTTTGGTGCCGAATTACAAGTACTTGAGGACACTTTAATGGTCAAAGTTGGAACAGACACGCCAACTTCATTGACGGTTTATGAAAATTGGCTGTCATTAATAAAAACTGATCATTTTCGAGTTACCGAGTTGGTGTGTTTTCGTTTTCACCGATTCAATTATATTTCAATAGTATTTCCGTTGTTAGTGTTGTGTGCTAATATTTTTCTGCTATATAAACGATTTGAAGTCACTCAAAAAATGTATCCTTTCGGTTTTCATGTGAATAATAATGGTCACGAGATGAGCAGAGAGAAAACATCCGTGCAGAAATCCAGAAATTGATATATCAAGCGAGAGTGACTGTGTAGAAAATTGGTAGTGGACAGTCCGGCGTGGCAAGAACAAATAAAATAATTTAATGACGAAATAACGCGGTTCGTTAGGAAATAGGAATGATCGACTGTGGGCAGTTTGATTCTTACACCCGCACATAGCGCGCCGGTTGCCAAACGGTCGAGTAATAAATTCAGAGTTGACTGCTCTCTTATTTCACACGTACAATAGAGGAACTTTTTCTCAGAGATAACAAATCGAGGCGTCAATTGGACGCATTTATGCTAAAATGAACTATGTTATATGCAAATTCTGTGCACATAGTTCCTTTCAGCGTAAAAACGTCAAATTCATTACTGTAAATATGCATCTATTTATCGTCCATTTCAGCAGTACAACGCCTGAATATTCTAGTAACATAGTTTAATTTTTTATTCTCCTCTAGTATAGCAAAGAAGAATCAAAATAGCGCAAAGGTACTGTAATTTCAGTGGCGCCGCTAGGGGAATCTTAAAGTCCTTTTCGGAAAATAAATTGGGTCGAAGAAACCGATGTAATCAGTCATCGGATGACAACTTTCATTCCAAAGAAAAATTAAATTGATTTATGTAAGAATACATCAACCGTTTGTTTATCATACTTCATGAAATGTGTTGGTTACTCTTTCTACCCGTGCGTTAAAGTCTCCGACAAATTTTCAACTAAAATCCAATTTCAGTCGCACAATGTTTGTCAATCAGTTGCTTTGGCTTTTGATAAGGTAGTTGCCGGTGTCACAGCATCGCATTTTGAGTATTATAACAGTATTCTGGATTTTTGTTTACATCTTAATCACATATCACAACTAAATGCGTAAAATTGAAACATATGAATGGCGCCAATTTTTACATCAAACGCTTTGTGCAGAATTTAAACCAGCATTGCTAATTTTGTAATGACAACAGTCATACAACATGAGCTCACATCAATGCGGAAAAATCTCCAGTGAAATGGCCAAAATTATATTTTGATCCATGGTCACACGAATACGTCGATAATGC